ACCAAATCTAACGCAGAGCCTCCGCCTAAATACTCCATAATGATCCATAACTTTGTGTCCTGGAGAGGAGACAGAGAAATAAGAGTGAGCTGCCATTTGTGGAGACATATTCACAGCTTATGAAGGCGGTTACTTATTGCGAAGTGTTAAGAGCCAGGTGCATTTCTAAACAAGTCATGATAACAGTTATAAGAGCGGGTGGGTGTTTGAAGTCGTACGAGGCTAATCCTTTTTTAATTTAGGATGACTCAGGGAAAAAGTGGGCAGAGGGAGAGAAATGTGTCTCATGGCATCTGCTCACTTGGAGGTTTGACTTGGAAACAGATGCAGAAATCGTAACGCATACTGTAACAAGCATCACCTTCAGGTATGAGCCGTAGTACTTGGTGACGAAGGGGCTGTCGCACTGACTCAGCACCGTGATCTCCTGCTGGATGTCTTCGATCTCGTCCTCCGCCTCCTCCAGGTCAATGTTCTTGATGGCCACCACTTTCTGCGTGCGATTGTCGATGCCTTTGAACACCTCGCCAAAGGAACCCTTGCCAATGCGCTCCAGCTTCGTGAACAGCTCCTCCGGGTCAGCTTTGGAATTCTGGTTGAGGAAAGGAAAGGCGGATAAAGATAAAAAAGAAAGGAATGTTTGAAAAGAACGGTTTAAAGGAAGCAATACTAATAAAGGAAACAGGAGCAGGGTGCCAGTCTTACAAGGATACATTAATTCACTCATTGTAACACCTTATGTTTGTGTACACAGGAAGAAATACAGGAGAATAAAAGGAAAAGTGTACCAATTGGATACCATAACCTTTATACATATTGACCTGGTTAAGGTTTATTTCTCCGATCATTAACAAACTAACATCTGAATAACACGGAGAGTATACTAATGTACTAGTTTATTTAACTAAACATGATTATATAGGTTCTGATATAATACATTCGTTTTGAAAATGTAAGCACGTGGCTTATTTTGCTCATAAGACTGTGCTGAAGATGGTGACATCATATTACTGTTACAGCCAAAATGACTGTAGGCGCATTGAGACATAATTATAACTCCTCTTGAGGTCATACGGACACAAATCAAATCCTGTTATATGAATTATAAGTGTATTAGAGTGGCCAGACCCCAAAAAGGCTTAGATGGACCTTTGAAGTGTTTATTAGTCAGGGTAAAAGCTAAAAATGTGTTCAGTGACAAATCCAAATTCCAACTTTCCTGGGGAGCGTGGACTAAAAAAAAAAGCCTACTTGAACACAGCAGGAAGTGAACTCAGATGACTTAACTCTCCAGAGGCAGTTATTTGGGAAGCGCAGGAGCAGGCGCTGACAAAAACAACTTCCTTTGTACGGCCTCTTCTGAGCAGAGAAAGGGTCAATGTGCTCTTTTGAGATAGCTAAAAATGAAACAGCTGCCTTACACAAGAGGAATCCTTATGTCACTAATGAAGATCATGCTGGCGTTATGAAAGAGATGTATTCAATAAACTAAACAGTGATTCCGCTAATGGAAAGTGTGGTAAAGATAAAGTGATGAATCATATTTTATTAAAACAATAACATGCTTGTTAGGAAACAGGATAGGGCTGCACAATATTGCAACTACGATAGATGAGGAATTTGTCATTTTTGCCTCCTTCTTCTCACCTATTATATAAGAAAATGATCATAGTCTGAATTTTTAAGACAATGTGTACCAATCTTATATAGTTTAAGTCTGTAGAATGCGATTTGTAGGCTGGGATAGCTCTGCAGGTCCACAATACTTCATTCAAAATGTATTTTTAACACATATATAAACGTACAAGTTGTGCTTCCTGCCATCGAGTATTGCACAAGTCCATATTGCGATAAGTATACAATTCTGATTCATTTTGCAGCCCTATAAAATGGCTTTTAAATGGAATAAGAGCTTTAAGTCACATTCCGATTTTTACTGCCAGATGTACAACTGACGCTCGTGGATTCACACCCTAAAAATATACTGATTGCCTTTTTCTGCGCCCTGCATCTGAAAAACAATGTTCTAAACGGACTCTTCATTTGTGCCAAAATCCCAGCAGTGTGTCTGCCTCTGATGCATCCTCCCCCAGATTCTGAGTCGGCATGCATTTCCTTCCAAAAGCAGAGAAATCTGCTAACACGCCTGCACAGGGAATATAATCTGGTGCATGAGGCACATTAGGAACCGTTATCTCCTCTAGTTATCTACCCAACACAATTATCATCCCCTATAGGCAAAATCCTAAAGATAGCAGCAGTGGCAAGAACAGGGCTCATGTGTGCATAATAGTTTATTTGTACAAAGACCCAGGGAGATCTGTCGTTTTCAAGTCAAGGCTGAAATATGGGAATTAACTGTTTAATGCGTATCGTTCTGAGGCAAAACAAATTAGACAATAACAATGACGACATTGCAGAGATGTAAATAATCGTTCTGCAAAGCAAACATCCCAGACACATTTTAGTTTCTATGATGGACCTATGTTCAGGTTGTTATTTTATACATTTTAGCATTAATTACAAGGCTGTCATGAATTTCCTCTATTTCATTCCTATTGCATCATTAATAAATAACAGCTTGGTGCATCATAATTCACTTGGGTCTACTTGTATCTTTACTTGTTTAATTAAATACTATAAATGTATATATAAATGCACGATTTTTCTTCCTAGAACATGTGTTCTGGTGTATATATGTTTTGTTTTTAGTTTTTACATTGTTAAATCATATGTGAGAGGAAAGCTTTGTTCACTGTGTGTTTAAAGATAAATGTAATATTTTAATACCATTAACTTTAAAAAGGACTGTAAATGTTTATCAACCTATGCACGTATGTTTAGTTAAAGGAGCTTGCAGTGGGTGGTTGTTTTGTGTGATCACTGACACGCCTCCATCACAGTTGTGGACTAGCATGTAATCATTACGCGTATATAAGCAGTGTGTCACTGTTTGATAGGGTTGATATGTCCTGAAAAAGGTCATGGTAACCAAAACATCTACTCTAAAGGAAAAAAAACAATAATTGAAAAGTATGTGCGGAAGTTGACTGTTTTATTCAAAATTGCAACATTATCTCGAAACATTTCGACCTCGAGTGACATTTACGAGGTGTACCTGAGATGGGCACAGTCGCACAGTTTAATGAGTGTGCATTGCTCAAACACACAGCAGGGAGTCGGTGTACATTTTGTTCTGCCAGTGACCTCAACTTCTTAATGCGGAGTTAACTCAAACATCTTACCTGCATCCCCGGCAGGTTCCCCTGGACAGGAGAGTGGGCCATGGTGATGCGGACTCGTCCGCAGGGCTGAGAGCTCCTCCTCGGCTCACTTGTGTTTACAGTACTGGCTCTGGTACCGTTCACGTTAGCACTCCTCCAGGACACCTTGTCGAACAGGCCGACTGGGAGCAGCTCAGGTACTTAAATATAGAAAGAAAAATGTCCCTCCACACACGCTGGGGTACCTTTCCTGTGTCGGAATAACCCAAATCATCCAAAACAGCTGAGCAAGCTAACAGACGTTTGCTAATGCTAAAGCTGAAGCTGCAATCCAGAAATCCGCAATGTTAGTTTGCTAACCTGCTGGGTAAGCGTTAATTTAGTTTCCCACCCAGGGAAGGTAATGCCACTATAAGAAATTTGAATTTTTCGGAAACGAACAAGTAGAAACTACTATATATTTCCAAATAAGGTAACTGACACTTTCTAAAAGCGTTTTCTCTCGCTAACGGTGTTGTCAGCTAGCTAACATGGTTAGCCCGCTAGCTAGCTAGCGAACGCAGACAAACTGACAAACGTTCCGTCCGCGAGCAGGCTCGGAGCGTGATGTGTCCGCATACCGCAGCTGACACCCACAGGACGGAGGCTTGAATGAAGCGATGTGCCTGCTTTAATCTCTGCACTAACTTGTAGATCTACAGGTCTGGCATCTGCGGCAAGGATAGCTTGCCTGTGTTTTTGTTTCCTCCCTCACTTTCGTCCCGTACTCTCGGCCATCTTGTCGGTGCTGTGACGCCTGGCTGGGCGGATCCGGATCCGGATCAACAACAACATCCTGACGCCTCTCTCCCTGGTGCTGATGCCAGATGGATGGACCCAAAAAGTTTCGAGTCAGTTATTTAAAGAGATCCATTAATAACACGCTTTGTCATGGCAGTGTACCTCAGCATCCCCCCTGAGAAAACTCCAGTTGGTTACTCATCATTTGGTCCTGAGGTCCTGAGCAAATCATATTAGGCTAATTAATAAGGAATGCTTAAAAAACATATTTCTAACGGACCCCTTGAAAGCCTGTCAGGGACATGTGCCACATCTTTTGAATCACTGCCATTGACTTACCTGTAATCGTACTACAATCCACTTTTTGTTATTAAATCCTGCATTGAAAAGGTAACTTTATTACAAAAACATCTTACATCACAGTATTTTGTAATACTGAAATTGATGTGATAGCACTGTCAAACAAAATTGACATGATACAATTGCATTGTGAGTAAATCAACCAATGCAATTAGCAATGCAGCAGTGCTTATTGATTGTTATTGACGCTTCGTGTGTTCCACCACCGGGGAGCGCTACTGTATAAAGCTCCCTGCCGCAGCATCTCTTATGTGATGTTGATGCTGCTGCCGGTGCATCATCGCGTGCTGCAGCTACACATAATAACGGGATGGCTAATGCATTACTGCTGCTGGTGCTTCTGTTGTTTGAATGATATATGATACACTATAATATGTATTTATATCAGAAGCGGGTTCAGATCATAATTATGCCTCGTGCTGTTCTAACAAAGGGCCTGTGTTGCGCAGGCTGAGACAAAATCCACATGGGTTCCTCAAATAAAGCGCACTGCCTACATGAAGAAGGCATTGCATCATGATTGTTATTGCCTTCGAAATAGTATTCATGATCAAATATATCCCATAGAAATGTTTAGATTATGATAGAATCGGGATATCCATTTCCCCATTGAGATTGAGTGATAGGTGCCCCTCCATTGACTCTGTTACAAGATATCTGGAATGTGAAGACTAGATATCAACATATGCATGTTTGTGTGGATATATCCCCACATGTAAGGAGGAATATTCCTCACAGATGAGTTCCTGAATAAAGGTATGCGCACAGCTTCTCACTTGTGCGCCTCATCTCCGCGTCCTGGCTTGAACGCGTGTAATAGGAAGCACTGCCTCCCTCCTTCATGCGTAAATTATGTAGGGCAGGACGGGAATGCTCTGCTACCTCCATTTGAGAAAACCCGGCCGGTGAATGTGAGGGGGAAAAACACCAAAAGACGAATTCAAGCAGCGTTTCGACTGAGCATCACTACCTGCCTCTTGTGAAGCCAAGGAGAGGAAAAGATGGACATCACAGACCAAGGAGCTCAAATGGAGCCGCTCTTACCCACGGTAAGACACGCTATTGTTTATGTTCATTTACATATTTGAATATACAACAAAGCTGAATGGACTGCTGTGTTCTTTCTCTTTAGAATAAGTCAGACGCTGTTAGGATGAAACTACCCTTTAATTTATGATTCATATTCAATACTTCTGTGTTAAAAATGACCCTTATTTTGAGTGGTGTCGCCTGGATATCGTGACAAACATGGATGCTGCGCATTACACATTTGACAAATTGACAGAATTAATATTTTCACCGTGTACAATTCATATTGGGCAAATATATCACTACAAACCCCTAGACCTTCACAGAAAAGGCATTACAGGTTGATACTATGTTACAAAGCAGCTACAGTTGTGCATGTGTACCCTAATGCCTGCATGGAAAGGCTCCTTTAATATATCAATATACCATGACATGGACCCAGTTTCTATTCTGTTAAAGAACCTGCTATCAAGCTATTGCTTTATGTTCTGCAGGTCTTTGATGTTACACTAAGAGAAGAGTGTTGGGTGAAAAAAAGGGACATTTATTCCTCATCAGTTGCATGTAAAATGTTCCATATTTCATTTTAGGGCTTCACTGGATTATTACGACTTATTCGTAACCTTTTTGGCTATTTGTACGCATTATGAGAGCAAAACTGAAATTCATAAAAGTAGTTATTTAACACGTATTCCTTATTTCTCCTGTAACCATAACCATCCATCCACCTAGCTACTCAATCACCCCCCACATGTTGGTGGAGTAAAGCAGGGAACAAAGAGGTTGAATGTGTGCATGTCAGTTCCAGCATGCCTCACATATAGAGCCACTGGAAGGCAGAGCCTACATCCGCGGTCAGCCTCATCTCATTAGCATGCAGGTGAGGCTGTGCTGTGGTGGAGGAAAATACCAAAGAGAGATGAAATATATCTCTTTTTGATCACAATGTTTTAAGCAGCGTTTGCTCTAGAGGCAAATCAATACTCTGCCTGTTGGTTCTATTTGTAACCGTGATATGAGGACTCCAGAGCTTACAGCGAACAGTGAAGCCTGACGGGGCTGATGTGGTGTTTGATGGGGGGGCTTTGCTGTTTCCCCTGCAGTCTCGATGCAGTGTGATTGCCTCACTAGTTGTAACTCATTGCTGCTTTCCCTGTCCCTGTGCCTACGCAGCAAGCGGATGCGTTGTCATGGTTTCACTGGGATGTGTATGGGTATGTGAGGTTTTAAGTTGAGGGACATGTCAATACAAAACACGGTTAGAAAAACTATGATATTGGCATTCTAACAGGTTCCCAAGGTCAACTATGAGAGTATGTTTGATTCACAGCAGGAAAGACTGTTGTGAATGCCTCACTGCTCATGACATATTTTATTTACTACATGAGGGTCTTGCATGGCAGTAATTTATTTGCATGCCCTTGTTTTGTCATTTGGACTTATATCTCCATGTCCTTTGACTTGCAGGAACCAAGTTCCCAAGGAAGTACAGATGTGGTGAGTACATCTCTCATTCTCTTCATATGGAATGACAAACATGACATATTGATTTGCTCAGTAATAAGAGTGATAACTCAATTCAAGTTTTGTTAAAGACTAGGTAGTGATACACTCAGAAAATCAATAGATTAACAAAATAATTGGGACATATAAAGGGCAAGGCAAGAATAAAAGCAGGTCAGGTCCCAAAGAATGAACTAGCAAGCCTGAAAAGAGTTTTTAAAAGTCCAGTGGTGAAATAGAGCCAGGATAACAGACTTACATTTGTCAGGTGACACAATTACAAGTTGAGATTTCACAACTATAATATATAGGATGATGGATGGGAAGGACACGGACACAATGACCAATCAGAGCGGACCTGGCTGTTCCAGATCGGGGGTTAAAGAGTGAGGCGCTGAAACAGAGCCTTTCAGGGAGAGGGTGAACACAGGCAAGCATGTAAACACATTCTATTGAAAACCCAAAACATATACTTGAAAATAAGCATGATATGTCTTCTTTAAAGTAACTGACTTAGACACTACTACCTAACCAAAGCCTGTCTAAGGCAGGTAAACCTAGCTCAGTCCCAAGCATTAAAAGATATAAGCATAATGAGTAGTTTTAATATTAAATTAAATATATTGATAATGTATCAGAATATTAAAATGGGTAGGAATTTGAATGCAGGAATTAACCTTGTAATGGAGTATTTGTACTTAGTTACTGGCTGTAATATGATCAAACTTGGCTGTTAATTCACGTTTCCTATCATCTATAATCTACAGTAATATTGCACAGCTGTGTCTGCTTTATATTTGTCATTAGCCTTCTTGTTTAGCAGATGTTGTGTATTTTTAGATCACAATTGTCACACATGTCACTATGCATCTGGCAGCCACGCAAGGCTGAGGACACGCTGGGTAAATAAATAACAACAGAGCGCAATTCCTTTTAAGAGCTCACAGGAAATGAGTGTAAGCAGATAATTGAGCCAGTCAAGGTGAAGAGCTTGATCCATGCATGTCATTTGTTCTGACTGAATATTGCTTATGCAACTGAGGGCTGTGAGCCAAACTGAGGACAAGAGTGGGCACAAAGTATCTGCCTGTGGCTAGACTGTGAATCCTCCATTTACCACTTTATCTTTCCTTTCTAGTACTTTTAATTTGCTACATTTTTGCGACTATGCATTTATATTTGCCACATGTTGTTGAATCACTACGAATCTACTTGATAACATGATTTTAAAATATCACGTTTGAATAAATCTGAACACAAACTCTATTCTTTGATATCAAAGGAACAGACTTTTCAAGCTTTCAGTTGATTAATCTCCTAGCTTCATAATGTGTTTATAGTGGTGGAATTTGCAATGTTTAGTACATTTAAACTGTATTAAGAACAATAACGTTTTGAAGGACACAAAGCTGCTTATTGACAAATCCATATTTATTACAGAAACCAATGATTTTTTCTTCTAATGATCCCTTTGAATCCAAGTCTAAACTATATTGTTTTCTATCAGGATCATGCTTGTTGTTGTAATAGTCATTTTGGCCAAAAGAGGCCGAAGTGTACTTCTAACTAATGTTGTAAACACACAATACAATTCTTTACGATGTTGTACCTGGTTGGACTTATAGCGGAACTGAAGCTTGGTGATTGCAACCTTGTTTGAAATCTTGTCAACAACTTTTTTAATTGGTTGCACCTAAAGCGTTTCATCGGCTCTGGAGCCCTGCTTCTTGACCTGAGTGGTCCTGGTTCTGGATTGGGTTTAGACTTGAGTGTTGTGGTCCTAATTACAGCCCTGATGTAACCTCAGTGTCTCTGCCAGGAGGTCCAGTTAGGGGCTGGTTGATTGGCCGGGTTGGAGAAGATCCTTTAGAACAGACGGAGGAAGTGTGCTGGAGTTGCCCGTTCTGCTCTTTTGAGCTTGGCGTTCTTAGATTAGTGATCTAACTGTGCAAAACTGGCAGGGAGGAAGCCTCCCCACCGCAGATAGGAGCCTTGACCGGCTGTGCTCCTTTCCTTGGTTAATTATAGCAGAGTCAGCGGGGAGGAGGGCGAGGAAGGCATGGAGCTAGGTAGAGGCAGAGAGTACAGAGCTGGGTGCGGGGAACGTAAGAGACAGATGCTAAAATGAGGAGGGAGGCAGATCACATTGTGTATATAGTGTTATTTCTCTGAACATCTTCCGCGCGTCTTCTTTGCTTCTGAAAATAAATATCCGATGACACAGAGACAGCAGTAACAGGATTTGACAGTGGTGTCAGGCGGTGCAGCAGAAGTAGTTGCTTGTTCCTCCGGATCGGTTTCTAGAACACCATGCCTCGATCACATTTTCGCTGACAATGCACTGCAGCCAGAGAGCAGCCTCTTTGCCTCAGGTAGGTTGTGCACACACACACATTAGGATGCACACACTGTATACAGTTAGCCTGCAACGCCAACTCTACTTACCTATTTTTCTACGTGAGGTGTGCAGTGACCATGGCACATGTAGATGTGAGGTGTCCTTTGGGCTGTGGGGAGCCCCTCGTACAGGATGCTGCTGTTTGACTCACTGCGACCTAAGACTTAGGTAACAGAGCTACAGAGCTTGAAGGCTCAGCAGAGCAGAACAGCATCGGTGATGTCAGAGCACTAATCTCTCTGGGGGGATTGGCGGATGGACGCTTGTCAGAAACATTTGATGCTACCCTGGATGAAAGCTGTCAGAGGCAGAGAGAAAGAGACAGAGGCAGAGCTGTGCTGAGCTCCCTGCTTTTGTTTTCATGTTATGTTCGTGGGGCTTTCGAAGGTTGCTGCCGTTTTCCAACATGGGAAGAGAGGCTAAGGAGAGCATCTGAGGAGAGGAGAGGGTTCGACTGACAGACTATCTGTGTCTGCTGTTCTCTCTGACTTTCATACACATTACAAACACACACTCTGTGTCCACAGTGGGGCTCGGGCTCTGAGCCTTAGCCTCTCGTCTTTCCATTGCCGCAAGCACAAGGGGAGTTAGCGGGCATCCTAACAGGAGTCACACCATGCTCTCAGTGGACCACAGTGCAGGATTTATTAATCAGGTAGGTTGCTTCATTTGATTTCAAAGGGTTGCAGTTGTAAGTTTGTGAGCATTTCATTGACTTTGCTGTAGCTAATATTGGAATTGGCTGCCACCACTAATTGATGGTTGAGTTTGTCAACGTTTTTGACAGAGTTGGTTGCACTTTTGTTGTGATTTTGAGATGAAACAGTAGAAACTGGAAACAGCAAATGTTAGAAAAAGCTTGCGTGTGATCTTACTGTTTTACGATCTGCCTTATTTGAATACATGTATAGTTGAAAGGCTTGCCTTCTGCTGCAGAGAGGAGCAGTTGTGCTGATGTGCATGCAAAGGTCCGGGGAGGCTGGCTGACAGATGGGACTGTCATTGTGGGGCAAGCGAGGAGCTTATACACACTGCACTGACCCTAGTGATCTCTCAGGGAGATACAGACAATCAAAACCCAAATACATGCGATTTGGTTTGGGCATGTTATCACATCGTTTTTTTCTGGTCTTTGTAATTTTAAGACATTCAGGAAGTTTCTATTACCTGCTAGTTTACAACCCAAGTCCCCCCTTGCCTTTTTTGCAGGGCGGTGATCACACTTCATATCCTCCTTCTTTCTTTCTTTACCTGTGTCCGACATGGTTAAAGAGTGATGATGTAGATGTATTCAGAGTGCTTAGCATATTCTTCCCTGTGATGCTACCGATGCTGATCCCGCTGCCATTGCCAGGGTAACCATGGCCATCTGTAGGGAGGAAAACCATGACAACAAAAGCTGCCAGCCAATCGCAGGGCTTGTACAGCAACTGATAATCCATCTTCCCTCTTAGCTAGCTACAAACTATAGAATCACTCTAGCTCTTTGGACAAGTCCAATAAAGCAGATTTACAGTAGATAGATTTACATTAAAACTCAGTCTCATGGATTTCACATGAAACGCCAACTGCTTGGCTATTTTCTGTGCGCACTGTGGAGACTGTTTGCTACATCTGATATGATGTACGAGTACACCAAACTCTGGCCCAACTTTTACATTATAGTAATGTAAGCATTCATCATCCCCGCTGTAGTGAAAGCCTCAGGAGAACGTAGAAATGAGGTCACATATCTGCTTCCCTGAGAGCGATGTGTTAATGTACACAGATCCTGGAGAGGAGCGTGTGAGAAAACATAGGTGATTTATATTGGCCAAGAAAATGGAACATAAGCTCTCAGAGAAATCTGATGTTGACGCAAAGTGGAGATCACTCGATAGATAATATGCACAGCGAGGCAAAAGTTATATAATTTCTGTCGTAATGAAAATGGACCTGGACATGTAATTTACTAAAATCAGTTTTCCCCACACCATAATCTTTAGTTTATGGATGCCATTATCAAAATGTTACGCTGTGTGAGTTTATCTTTCGTGCTGCAATACACTTACGGAGTCTCACATCACATTTTTATGTGCACAGACTTATGTCAAATCAAAGAATCAGATATTTTCTAACAGAGCTAATCATCTTTTGAATTTTCTTTGGATAGTTTTATATCCAAGCCAAAGATGTGCTCAAGACTGTGAGCCACGTAACAATATATATGAACTCAGGTAGACCCTCACTTCCTTCTTTTATATCTCAAAACTCAACTTTTTATTGCAGGCTATCTTAAAATGATCTAACCCTCAAGTCTCAACTTGATGTCGTCAGGGTTGTTCCTCTAGACTTTAATCTTCCTTTAGAGCCACAAGACACATGCGAATGCCGTGATGGTCGTTAAGTAGCCTCCAACCATTCCTAAATTCATACCAACAACATCTATCAAAGTCAGCCCCCTGTTGATTGTCACTGCAGTAGCTCCGGGCTGTACTCAGCTATGACAAGCTGAATTACACTCGCTCATGTGAACCAACTATGACTGCGCTATCACTTTGGGATAGTGCTGTAAAAGGTGAAAGCCAGAGGTCAGACGGAAAGTGGAGCACATTGC